TTTCTGAGCTCTATCAGCTTCCTTCACTTGTGCATACACACACACACACACTCGCTCTTCTGCCTTCAGGCTTTGGTACCAACTGCGTGGAAGGTCCTTCCCATACCTGTCACCCAGAGAGCTCCTACACACCCATGCAGGTCCCAGGACACCCCCTCCAGAAAGTGCTCCCCGCCATCCAGCACACACCCCTGAATCTCTGTGCCAGGCTGTCATTGGTGTCAAGTCTCTCCCAGAATTCGAGTGTGAAACACCCCCCCCCACCACAGCAGAACCCCACATGCATTAGCAGTGAAGCCACTGGCAGGCTGGTGGGAGCTGGCATCTAAAGGGTGGGGGTGGGGAGCCACCCCCACGACTGACAGAAGACTAACTTTGTGCCAAAGCCCGTGGCCACAGTCCAGGTGCTGCAAAGAACTTAATTGCCCCCCTCCTGGGCATAGGAGTGGGCGAGATGAGAGCAGCTAGAGCCCTTCCGGAGACCCCCGCATGCCCCACCACAGATGACTCAGGGGCGCCCTTTAAGAGGATGATTTGATCGGTGATGTGGACAATTAGACTCGTGAGCGTGTTCTGTTCATCGATGCCGATGGTGAGGACTGAAGTGCCATGGGGCTATTTTTGAATCCTACTGATGACGAAGAATCAGATCTGTTTGGGGGAGAGGTGAGACCCCAGAGGAGCCAAGGCTACATATGGATCCAGATAATGAGCCTCAACCCCACAGCCGGTTTTGTTCCTTTGCCCATGTCTCCCCAGGATGCTGGCGGCAGGTTGGGGGCGTCTGGTTGCATGCCGGGGCCTTGGGTCCACGTGAGGCTCTGCATTCCCTGCCACCACCACCCCCTTTCAGGGCCCTGTCACGAATCTCTCTGGCTGGCATACACGAGGAGAGCCGGGGGCAGGGTGCATGCACCACGTGGTCCAGCTTGCCCTAATGGCAAAGCCACTTCAGACTGAAAAGGCACCTCTCTGATTCATCCCGAAACCATCCTATTTCTTCTGCAGCCTCCCCCTCCCCGGGTGCTCTGCCCCTAGCCCCCACCTCCTTGGGGACAAAAAGAGAATGCTTCCCCCACAAAGGTTCTTCCCACCTGGGGCAGCTGTGCCATGAGAGTTTATTTAATAACCCCCTTCCCACTCTACCAGGTGTGGAGCTCTTCTTCTGCCCCAAGAAGGGGCCAGGGGGCTGAGCTCCTGGGAGCAGGGTCCTGCCATTCTCCTCCAGGGCAGTTTCACTGCTGCCACCACCCTGGCTGCCTGAGCATCTCACTTGGCACTTGAATTCAGAGAGGACGTGGACTCAAGTCCGAATCCCAGCTCCGCTCTGCAGTGATGTTGACCTCCGTCTTGCCAGGCCTCAGTGTCCTCCCCTTGGAAATGGGCTTTGCAATCCTGACCTGGAGGCTGGGACACGGTGTATGCGAGGCCCAGCACAAGCAAGCGGGCCAAAGGAGAAGCGGAATCAGAGAGGACGCTGGGTGGGGGTGGGGAGGGGGAGAAAAAAGGCAGCTCATGCACACCTATCAACCCCCACCTTAGACTTATAGTGAGCGGCCCTTCAGGACAGGGCAAAATCGCTCCTGTGTATGAGTTTCCAAGTCCGTAGCTCTTGACAGGAATAGAAAACCTCCCTTCTCTCCCATGGGTTGTCTGGTGGCTTTGAACTGCTGACCTTAAAGTTAGCAACCCAATACATAACCCACTATGCCATCAGGGCTCCTTCCACCTCACCCAGGGAGTGAAATAGCCTTCCTGAGGAGAAGGGGGCTCTAAGAAGCTGTAAAGCTGGCACCCCTGGGAAATCTCTCTCTCTGGGAGGGAGGGTGACATGGGAAGGGGCAGGGGGGATGAAGGCACAGGGCCCCTTGAGTCCTTGCTGTGCCTCCGTTTCCCCAGCTGTACAATGGCCCGCTAGGATGAGATCAGAAGACATACTCTAGGGACAGGACCCAGACTGGCCAGAAAAACAGACATCAGATGTAGAATTCTCAGGTGTGGGTGTGGGGCACCCTCAGAGCTGTCCCAGCTGCACTTCCCCAGAGGAAATTACATTTTAATCAAAAAGCAAGTGATCTTTGTGACTGGGGAGGGGCGGGGACAGGGGACAGTGTCTCTGTGCAAGGTGGGGGGTGTGACAAAGGGAGCAGAGAGTGGGGAGGGGTAAGGGTTGGGGGGAATCTTCTTTGGAATCCTTCTGCAAATGGTCCCCCAGCGCCAGCACCTTTGCTGCCCCAAGCCCAGCCGACTAGGGAACTCTGGACAGAGAGAAGCTTGTGTGGAGTTTGGCAGGAGGGATAGAACCCAGCTCCCCTGCTACCTGCTTTCCCACCTGCCTCTTATGCTGTGGCCTTAAGTTATCTGGCTCCCCGAGGAGAAGAGGGGGTGTGGCTAGAGTGGGGGCCATCCTGAGTCAGCCTCGGCCCAGCCTCCCCACCCCCAGGGCTTGCTTGCAAACAGCAGACGGAGCCAACCCCCAGGGGCCAGACTGGCATTTTCCTGCACTCTGTCTGAGCAGCAGCCCGGAGTCTGTTCCTCAACACCCAGGTTCAGCCTCGGTGTCTGGAGCTGCAGGGAAACTCAGACTCATGATCACGACGGGGAGCAAGCCTGCATCCCCCCCACCCCCCCACCGCAGGCTTCTCCTCGGGGACTGCGGACAAAGGACAGAGGCCCCAGCTGGGAAGGAGTGTCGTCCCCCCCTCCCCAAGGTCCTGCAGGAGTGGGTCAGGCAGGGTTCAAACACGGTCCTTGTCTGCCTAGGAACCCTGAGCTTTCTGTGGGGACAGGCGTGGCATCTCATATCTGTTGATGGACAGGTGCAGAGAGGGCAGGGGTGGAGGTGGGTGGAGAGCAGGTGCCTGGCACCACGAGTGCCCTTTCAGCTTAAGTCTGTGACATTTGGACATTGGCTCCTTTGGTTGAGAATGATACTCCCACCCCCACCCCTGCTGCATGTGGCGAGGGAAGAGGTCTAAATGGGGACCCTCCAGGGCTCCTGGGGCTCCTTTGTGTGCCTGCAACCTGCCCTCATGATGTTGGCTTTCTCTCCACCTCCCACCCCTGTGGGGTAGCCCAGTCTGAAGATGCCCCCCTTCCCCTGGCTTCTAGCTGATGACCCAGACCTTCCCGCGTTGCTGTAAGGGATAAATTTGGAGACTGAAGTCAGGGCTCAAGAGGGGATGTGGCAGGGCTGGTGGGGCAGTCTCATGCGATGGGCAGGTGTGTCCCCAGCTGGCCTGAGACAGATTAATTGGCCTCCAGGAGAGGGTCCTCTCCACTCCCAATACTCCCCTCCTAGAAGTAGGTATAAAGGGGCAGGGGTCCCTCCCCACCAGCCTCCTAGAGGAGAGTTCATGAACTTGGTGGGTGCCCATTCCTGGCACCTGGTATCTACATGCCAATTAGCTAAGCAAATTATGCACATACAATGAATCAATCGAAGTATCAGCGCTCCATCCCCCTTCTCTGGGGGTGACACATGTAAATCCTCTTCCCTTCCATCCTGCTCCCTTCTATCCTCCCAGTTCTGCAGGTAAAAGAGTGGGTGGGGGTGTGCAGGCTGTGCCAGGGTCTGTTTGTGCACAGCTAGTCTCTAAGTTCTTACTGGGGGCTTCAGGGAGATGTGCAATAGGCCGGCATGCCCCTCCCTGCATCCCTGTGAGCGGCATGCAGCTGTGTGTGTGTGTGTGTGTGTGTGTGTGTGTGTGCACTCACCCATGGTGTCTCTGGGCAGAGGTGGACTCAAGCCCGTGTGTCTCTGTGTGTGTGTACATGCTTGTTGTTGGGTGACTATATATAGGTGTGCGTTTGTAAGTATGTGGCCAAGAGTTCATGAATTGTGACTGAAGGACTGGGCATGTGTGGCTGTGAGTGTTCTGTAACGTCTTGGTATGTGTGATGGTGTGTGCAGGTATGTACCTAAAGCCACACTGCATGCACACACACATGTGAGTACGTGTGTGGGGGCTTCCCTGAGCTGGCAGCTCACAACATACATCTGTGTGTGCTTGCGTCTGGGCCTGGTCCCGGCTGTCGGGAGAGGTGGCTTTTCTGGATGTGTGTCCCTGCCCTGGGTCTTCCCGGCTGTTTGTGTCATGCCCACCGTGATTCAGCTTGAATGTTAGAGTGTGTGAAGGCTGCAGTGTGTGTGTGTGTGTGTGCAAAGCGCGCGCGCAGCTGTGAGCTTGTTGGAATGTATGTCCGGGGTATGTGTGCATATGTGGTGCAGTGTGTGTGTTGAGATGTATGTTATGTTGAAATGTGTGCTGTAGTGTATGTTGGAGTGAGTGTGAGTGGTGGAGTGTGTGTGCTGCAGTGAGTGTTGGAGTGTGAGTGTCGGAGTGTGCTGCAGTGTGTGCGCTGCAGTGTGTGCGTGTGTTGCTACAAGTGTGTGCGTATCTGTCTGATCTCTGTGGCGTAGGACATGGGCAGCAAGGCCTTTCCAAAGTGGTTTTCTGGGCACCCGTGCATCTGTGTGTGTGTCCCACGTCCTTCTGGGGTGTGCGCGTGGTTTTCGGGGTGTGTGGTGGCTGACCTGTATACTGGGACCTTTGCAGGAAGTGTCGGGGGGGTCGGATTCTGGCTTCTAAGGGCCGCCTGCGTCTTCTTGGGGTCCCCGCCAGGCCATGGTGGCTTCCGGAGACCTGTCCGACCCGTGTGCGCAGCGTGTGTCACGGTGCGCGGGGTACCTGTGCCCGTGTGCCAAATGTGCCCCGAGTGCGCCAGTGGCTTCCGGACGCCGCAGCGGTGGG